TTTAAATTTGAAAAGTTTAATTTACTAATACTTAACATCACTCAACTCTTTTCTTTATCCCTCTATATTCCCTCCCTATTTTTCTAAGTAAACTGAAATTCTCTCCTTTTTAGGAGAGGGAAATAAAACTTTAAATAAAAAAAAAGAGCAACATTTATTCCAGTAGGAGCTTTTGTGAGTCAGAGCTCACTTAAGAACATAAAAACGTCAAATGTAAAGATTACTAAAGCAACTACATATTTTTTCCCCAATATTTTTTAATTGAAATTTTTAGAATACATTCAGTATAACATTAGAACGCAACAAGTAATCCAGCGTTACATAAACAGCATAAACACAGGTTAGGTGCACAACTCATGCTACTTCTAAACGTAACTAAGTTTTCCAACTATTTCTTTTACATGTCTAGTTCAGAGAATTCGGTTGTTTAAATATCTCTAGTTAAACAGCATTATTTTAAATTTTGCATTGGCTATGTCTGACCAATCGAATTGTGTCAAGGAAATTTTTTGAAGGATGGGACTCCAAATACTGAGAGGGTTATAGAATTCACACTCGTTTTTGAATGTTGAGTCATAGATTGAGAGATTCTCCAGCATGAAGATGTCCCATACCTTATTGATCCATTGAGACAGCATTGGTGAGGTTTTTGTTTTTCCAATTCTTTGCTATGGTCATTTTTGCTGCTAACATTAATAAATTAACTAATTGTTGAGTTCTTTCAGGGGGACGAATTTGTGGCCAGAGGTGTAGAAGCATCAGTTCCGGTGTTAAAGGTAAGACAGTGTTTGTTATTTGTTTGATTTGGTTAACAATTTTGATCCAATATTTTTGTATTTCCTTGCAGGTCCACCAACAATGGAGGAAATCCGCCCTCTCTCCACATCCTTTCCAGCAAAGCGGTGAAGATGAGGGAAGAATGTGGGACAGTCTTGCTGGCGTGAGGTACCATCTGGTAAGTATCTTCAAGTTTGACTCTTGTAACCCTAGTGTTTTAGTACTTTTTGCCTGAGTTCGCCATATTTCTTCCCATTGTTCTTCAGATAGTATCCGTTTGAGATCTGCATTCCATGTTAATTGGTAGTTATGAGGTCTAGTGTTTTGTGATAGTGTAATGGCTTTGTAGAGCTTAGCTATGAGGCCTTTCTTTGATGGCGATTTGTCTAGTAGATGTTCTATATCTGTGAGCTGCATCTTGCTTGCCTCGCGAAATTCCGACGTGGATATTAAGTTTTGGACCTGTAAATATTCAAACCACGGTATTGATATTTGGTACTTCTGTTCTAGGTCACTTTTCAGAACCATTTTCCCTCTGTGGACAACATCTTTTATCTTGTTTATCTTTTTCACTCTCCATATTTCGAAAGAGTGCGGTTTTTCCGCTGACTTGAACCATGTTTGTCGCGTGAACGCGCTCAATCTGGAGTATTTGTTGGTTAGTTTCATTTTGATGTCGTACCATGTTTTCATAGATGCCTTCAAGAACAAATTCGTGTTTTGTTTATCTATTTTTTAAAATGATTTATGCCATAATAGTTCTTGAAACGATGACTCTCTGATATCCGCTTCCTCAATTTTTTTCCAGTCTAGTGTGTCTTCATCGTGGTATTGACGTATTGTAGCGGCCAGGATAGCTGCTTTTCTGTAGCTTTCAAGGTCCGGTACTGCTAGACCCCCTTTGCGCCTTGGTCTTCTCATAGTGTGAAAGGCAATTCTTGGTGGTTTCCCGCCCCATATGAATGAGTTCAGCTCTTTTTGCCATTTTTGTATAAGTTGAGGTGGAATATTTATTGGTAGGGTCCTAAAGAGATACAGGTACTTTGGAAGAATAAAGGATCTGATCACAGCTATTCTGTCCAGCCACGATAGACTTTTTGCATTCCAGGATTCCAGTGTTTGTTTGA